TTGTAATCTTGAGTTTTAAGTAATATGCATTAATAAACAGTACTTTACGCATAAAAAGTAATTTTTAAGAGTTTTTGTCACATGCTTTATAATATAGTATAGATTATTTTTTTATAATTTTAATTTAAGTTTAATAATGAAATAATTTATTTTTGGTTTAATATTATAAATTTTATAAATATAATAATTAAGTATCCTGTTAGAATTTGATGATTATACTAATTATATTTTAAATATTTTATATTTAAAATGAGATGTTTATCATGTATTTGATTGTGTTTATCTGCAGTTAGTTACACGAATTCAGATATGGGATGAAATTGGATAGGGATGAAATCGTTTAGGGATGAACGGGTTTAAGAGTTTTTAAGAGTTTTAGCCAAATGTTTTATAAGATAGTATAGATAATTTAAGATAAAATAATAATCAACTCATCTCTATATTTCTTCGTAAAATAAAATAAAGAAAGACAAAAAACAAAACAAAGTATATATTTCAGAACCTCGTTGCATTGCACGGATACATTTCTAATATACTAGAAAAAAAACAGATCAACAATATAATTAAGAATTGGGTAAATTACATTATTGGTCCCTGAGATTTACATGTTATGGCGTGTCAGGTCTTTCTTTAAGAGTGAATTACATATTTAGTCCATATGACTCTATAGGAATTATGGATTGTGACCCCAAATAAAATAAGTACATCCATAATTATCATGGTTTCACTTGTTATGAATTCGGTCCATGGCCATAATTGTACTAACGATTACTCTATTAAATCAAAAGAATTTATGTCTTTTTACATTTTTCTTTCATTTCTATTGAAAAACTAATAAATCTATATATTTTATATTAAATAATGTATTATTTATATTACATACACAGATAGATAGATATATATATATACACACACAGATATATAAGAGATCTTTTACAAACTCAAACTTTAGTACAAGTCATACAAACCAATTAATTGAGATACTTATTAGAGTTCATTTATTATGATCAAATGTAGGTTATTATATATACGACACACTATACAAAAATTAAGAGTATTAGCGAAGTAAATTTCTCTCACTGATCCGTCGTTGATCGTTCGTCGGTCAAAAGCTCATAGGTAATGCTATCAGGGGCATAATTCAGCGACGGATCAACGAGAGAATCTTTCAGTGATGCATCAGTAAGGAAACTTTCAGCAACGGATCAGCGACGGAAACTTTCAGCGACAGATCAGTGACGGAAACTTTCAGCGATGGATCAGTGACGGACTTTTAGCGATGGATTTTCCCTCGCTGATCCGTTGCTAATATTCCTTAATTTAAAAAATAAATAATTTATAATTACAAATTTTCTATATTTATGTTTACAAAATCTGGACATAAAATAACAAACCAAAACTGTGAACAAAATAAAACTAACAAATTCATACAATTTAAAAATCAAATTCATACAATCTAACTACTGGGAGGTGGGAGAGGGGGGAAAATGTGATAACCTGGATTTAAGGCAGCATTGGTTGAGGTAAACCTTATGTGATTATTATGCGAATATGTGATAACATGCATGTTTATTTAAGTAAATGCATGGATCATATATGTATGTGAATGAGTTACCGTGCATATGTGAGAAGTTGTTAAAAATATGTGTGTGCACGTAGGATGATATGCATACATGAGGAAAGTATTAAAATATGTGGGTATGTACCTTCGTGGTTAAGAAAAGAGATTTAAATATAGTAAACTTCAACCGCCCAAAAGAGTTTTATAATAATGAAACACGCACCGCCCTAGTTAAAAGATATATATAGAGGGAAGATAAGGATAATCTTATCTCACTTTTAAGAAATCTTTGAAAAAGAAGAAAGTATGTAAGGCAGTGAAGGTGTTCTTGAGAAGAAACCTTACATAAAAGTGATTTGAGGAATCTGTGTTTACTAGAAGAAGTTATTGTGTGATTAAATTTTCAAATCTGTGTATATTAAGGTGAGTTTTTTATATTAAAATCCTTAAATGATGTTATTTGAAATACATGGTTTTGATGAAGAATGGTAAACTGTTTTTAATAGTTGAAGTTGAGCTTTATAAAACTGGGTTTTGGAAATTGTTCTTAGGAAATAAAGAAGATTTTGCTTCTTTAAAACAGTCATGGATGATATCCTATTT